AGGTGGAAACACCTGTAGCCCAATTGATATTCGAATTTAGTAGAGTACACGAGAGCTTTTACATAGGGGTTTTAGTGATGAGAAATTGGATTACTTCCATTGAGGGTTACACTGGTATTTATAGTAATCAATGAGGACAAGACACTGCGCATCCACGTCAGGGCTCGTTCCTGGGTGGTGCGAGGTGATTGCCTCTGTCTTCTAGTGTCATTGTCCTTTAATTAGGAAGTTGACTCCTTTGTCACTTAGCGCATTGGACTAATTGCATGAGTATCTCAATAATCTTTCGTTGAATTTGGCCGCTACAGTCCAATTTCCTTTGAATTCTTCCTTGCCGACATTTTCCAACCCTAGAAATCATACCAGGTAGATTTCTAAGGGAGGGTTAATTGAATTTGGGGGCAAATGAGGAAATAAAGTAGTTTGACCAGTAGGCTTTCCGGAGTGTACTGGTCAAAATTTTGGTCAACCGATTACCCTTTTACTATAATTTAAGTCCTTCCCTTCCCAAAGAATTAACCTTGACCGGTTGAGTATTTGAGCGCCTCCTTTGACCGGTTCTAGATGGAATACATCCATCAACATAGATATATTTTATGAAGAGTTAGTATTTCAAAACTATATTTTAAAAGGAAACTATTTATATTATACTGCATGCGTCCTAAAATGATATTCTTAGTCACTATTCACATAGTCAAACTTAAAACTTTAATCACTTTTTTTTACTAATTTTCTTTAGTTATTTGATTAAATAATATAGTCATGTCACTTCTTGTTTAGTCATGTCACTTTTTGTAAAACTTTTGATGTGGTTATAAAATATATAATTTTTAATTTTAAATTTACACCTATAATCAAATAAATGAATTGAAAAAAATTTCAGTCAAACTACGTAAATTGAATTGCGAAATTCATTTTAGGACGGAGGGAGTATTTGTATCACAGTATAATGAATTTTTTCCAGCAAATCGAGATCAAAGTTTTGATACGTTGACTAAGAAAAATGAAATGAGAAGATTAAAACTGGATAGAGAGAATAATACTCCTTGCGCCCAAATTTTGATTATAATTTTTTTCTCTCCCATCGATAACTTTTGTTTATCTGTATGCTTCCATTCATTATTTGAAAAAATAAAATATTTTTGTCCCCACTTGTATTCTAAAACTTTTGACATAGTTTTTGATATGTAACTTTTATTTTTTTATCGATATACCAGTTTGTAAATAAAATGATTTCAAAAATGAGAAATTTTGCCTCGTAATCCTAATTTGTAATCAATTTTAAAACGTCTGAACACTTTCATTAAATAATAATTTTCAAACATTAACTTATTTTTTCTGTCAACTTATTTTTTCACCAGGAGTCTCTAAAGGTCCATTCTATCAACTTATTTTTTCAGCTCATTACTTATTCTTATTAAAATCAGATCAGACGAGATCAGACCTAATTTCATCATATCCAATCAGATCAAATCAGACTAGATTAGATCTAATCAGATAATATTAGATAATATTAGATCTGATCAGACTGGTCATAAGTGTTTAGTTTAAATGAGATAAATCCAGAAAAATGTTAAAAGAAACAATGCTTATATCTTTTTATATTATTACATAATAATTATAATGCGGTTATGATTTATTGTTTAATGTTGCGTAAAATTTACTAATAATAATTATTATAATGTTATATTCACTTAAGTAATAATATAACTACTTGTTATTTATTATTTAATATTGTGTATTGTTATTATTATTTAAGTGATCATAATACTCTATCTATTACTAAATTATTGTCTTCTTCCAAAAAACATGCAAAATTGTACTTGTATATTTTTTAAAATAATTTTATCGCTAAAAAATTATAAAAATAAAAGGTTAAATTTACATATATAAAAACTAAGGTTTGAAGGAGCAGTAACTTTATTACTAATACTATATCCGTCATATAAAAAATTACATATTTTATCTTCACGAAAATATAAGAGTGTGAAATTGATAAGAATATTTGAAAGTAAATATTTTACATGGAGTGAACTATTTTGAGACACTAGTATTTTTACCCGTGGAACGCACGGGGTCGAACAAAATTTTTGTTGGTTCTGAAACCTTTTTATTGCAATATTTTTTTCCGGATTAAAGAAAATATATTTCTCTATGATTTTTAATACTATATACAAAAATTCCAAAGTAGAATAAACAATATTTGAGGAATTGAACGTGTACTCAACCAAATTTATTTTAATACCAAATTTTTTGAAAGACTTCAGGGTATACAATTTTTTTAATATAATTGCAGGGATATCATTGTCATCTAAAACCAATATTTTTAATTGTGTTTTTGTCTTCACTCATGGAACAGTAACTTAAAGCTGACCATGGTGAATACCAACTTATTAGTTAAAAATAATGCAAGAAATGATAATGTTTGACCTTGACTTTTGTTGATAGTCATTGCAAAATATAAGACTATTGGGATTTGTCTTATGAAGAACTTCAAGAGTAGTCCTATATCAGATGGTATCAAATTCATTTGGGGTATGTAAACTTTTTCCCCAACTCGATTTCCTGAAACCACAGTAGACCAATAACATCTTTCGCAGCTCTTCAAGGATTAATCGTGTACCATTACATAATCCATATATTTGGTCAATGTTTCTCAATATCAAAATCGTTAACCCATTTTTAAAATTATTTTGTGATTTAGGATCTCCGAATATTTGATTTCTTTTAAAACTCAACCGTTATTTAATCGTCATCAACAACCTAGAGCTTGAGTGCCAGTAGTGTCATATCCTAAAAATATGAATAACATTTCATACTCTCTAATAGGTTCAATTAGGATAAGTGAAGCCCACTATACTCTTCAGGAAATAACTTGTGTCTAGAATCAAGAATTCATGCGGAATTTCAAGGTTAGTTGTTCCATCAATCACTTGTCCAAGCTTTTCATCTCTAACTTTGATTATCCAATCAGAAAAAGTTTGTGTGTCCCTATCTGCGCAAGAGGACATCGAAAAATGTAATATCATATTCTTCGTCAACGTATAAACTTTAAAATACGACCATAATTTTGAAGAATAGATGATAGCACTCACAATTTCCTCTCTTGAAACTTTGGGTAAAACAGGAAGAGTTTGCCAAAAATTACCTCCGAGTACAACTATTTTCCCTTCGAGTCATACTATTTTTCCCTCCGAATCCAACTATTTTTCGTCCAAATGGTTCATTTCTAGAGTTTTTATTAGAGAAATTCATTACATCTCTCATTTTGTGATCCAGCACCTCAAAAGTAAATCTATTCTTCATACATGCTCCATCTATGATTAGACTTACTTGTTGGATTAGTTCTGGTTGCGGACTCTCTTGTTTGATGGCACACGTTAAGCACTCGGTTAGTGCCAAAGAGATTGAGAATCTCGAGTGTAATGTCCTTCACCCATGTCCTTCCCCCAAGAAAAAGTAATGCTGCAATGCCACTGGATGTGACATTCAAGACAATCTTATCATTTGACATTAGAGAAATAGACACTGATTTCTATAAAAATATTTTTCCAATTCCCCATTAACCATACACAAAAAAGAAACCTGCTCTGTCAGGTGTCACAACTTCCATTATCTCATCATATATTGTGCCGATCTTCATTCATCGTAGATAAGTATCTCATAAGATCAGATGCCAACTTTTCCTTTTCACTATTAGAATGCAAAATCATTCAAGCCCTTGAGAGTATTCTCTTCAATATACAAAATGTTTTATCAAAATACAAATAATTATAAATTAGAAATTATATTTCTCTTTGATGTGGTTGTAACTTGTAACTTAGTCTCGATCTTATTAGCTATTACACTTTAGATTTCGGAAAATTTGCACTAAATAGTACTAAAACATATGTCCTTTCCTGATGTAATACTTAAAGCCTTTTGTTCATTAAATAGTACTTGAAGAATGTTCAATAGCGAGAACAATGTCTAGTGGCGGTAGACATTTTACTTGAATAATGTCTAGTGACGGTGGACATTTTACTTAAACAACAATGTCCAGTGAAAATTGAACAGTGGTACATCATTGAGAAATTAAAATATATGATACTATATTGAGAAATTCACTATGTTTGAGTCTTATATAGGTAAATCTTCCTTAGATTTTCTATGTACTTTCTCTTGCTTTATTAATTTTCTCTCATTCTAGATCTTCGCACGCTCCCCTCAACACCCTGATCTTCTTTATCGAAGTCCTCTTTGAATAAATTTTATCGCCTATTAGAATATCATTCTATAAAATTTCTATGCGAAATTACACAAATAAAAAAAACATAGGAAGTAAGTCATCTCTCATTCAATTTTTCTTATTTTTATACATAAATATAGTGAATTATAACACAATATAAGTATATATTGAGTAAATGCTAAGTTACAACTTACGAAAAATGATAAGTTACATTACAAAGTTATTTTGGTTAATATAGTAAATTAATTTACCAAGATAAAGTACAAAATAGATATTAAATCGCTTTCCTAATTTATTTATTTTAAATATTCAATCATTTAAAAATAGTCATATCATATGAAAATACTTTTATTACATTTCATAATTAGTCATCTTACTATTAAAAAAGGTCTAAGTAATTCTCCCTCCGTTCCACAAAACCATTCCGGTTTTGACTTTGAGAAAAAATAAGGAAAGTGTAATTTTGGTTGACTTTCCAATTTTGCCCTTGATGTAATGGGAAAAAGTAAGATGTGATAGTTTGGTTATTAGTGAAAAAGTATTATGTGATAGGTAGGTTATGAAAAAGTAGGGGTAAAAGTGGTTTTTTAATAGAAAGTGGAAGTGTTTTGTGGAAAGCAAAAAAACGAAAGAGGAAGGGTTTTGTGGAACGGAGGGAGTACAATTTAGGATGTGGATGAAGTCAATCTCATAGTATACGTATTATCCCATTTGTCTAAGGGGCTGTTTGGCAACTTCTGAATGGGTAAGTGCTGAACCAGTAAGAGGTCTGAACCATTAACTGCTGAACCAGTAAGAGGTCTGAACCATTAAGAGCTAGTATATTGCTTAACTATTCAGAGGCAAATGTCTGATCAATTCAGATAAGAGGTCTTAACCATTCAGACTCTGTATAATACTTAACCATTCAGAGGCAAATCTCTTAACCATTCAGACATCTGAACCATTAAAAGGCTGAAACAAACAGTCTGAACCATTAAGTGCTGAACCATTCAGACATCTGAACCATTAAGAGGCTGAAACAAACAGCCCCTAAAAGTGAGATACATAATCATGACACATCATTTTCCTAGAAAATATAGTCTTAAGTCTTGTAGTCACCTATTTATAAATTTTTTTGATTCATCTCAAAACAGTCTTTTCTAATAAGATATTTTCTCAAATCAGTCTTATTAAGGTATTTTCTTAAATTCTTTTCACATAATTATTAATTATTTGTTCATCTTGAATTGTTTTGTTAGATACAAAAAATATTTTGTTAGTCACAAATATTAATTTAAAAGTTTAAGAAAAAGAGTATCATTTTGATTATGAGTTAGTAAGAAATATGAATTTTAATTTTCACTTATTATTTTAGAAGCTGATTTTAAAATTTTAAAATATTATTTTGATTATTTTAGAATTTGATTTTATAATTTTTTTGTACAGAATATGAATTTTTATTTTTTACTCAATTGCATAAAATTTCATTAAGGTTCCAAATTCTTCCACAAAACTCTCTCCATTTAAATTTAATCTTCTCATTTGACTTTTCTTGGTCAAATTTTGTATACTTTAACCTTGATATATAAAAAAGGAATCTCTTCATGTTTGGTAGCTAAATAATAAATTTTGAAGTTCTGATCAACAAAATTGGAAATCTGTTCTCGTAAGCTCCGCAAAGAATAATGGAAAATAATATAATTCACCAAAAAATAATGGTATCAATTTCCTTTTTATTGCGATTATGATTTATTATTTAATGTTGCATAAAATTTACTAATAATAATAATTAATTATAATGTTATATTCACTTAAGTAATAATATAACTACTTGTTACTTATTATTTAATATTGTGTATTGTTATTATTATTTATGTGATCATAATACTCTATCCATTACTAAATTATTATCTTCTTCCAAAAAAACCATGCAAAATTGTATATTTTTTAAAATAATTTTATCGCTAAAAAAGTATAAAAATAAAAGGCTAAATTTACATATATAAAAACCAAGGTTTGAAGGAGCAATAACCTTTTTACTAATACTTATTTTATCTTCACGAAAATAAAAGAGTGTGAAATTGATAAGAATATTTAAAAGTAAGTATTTTACATGGAGTGAACTATTTTGAGACATTTACAAGTAGAATACTTCCTCCGTCCCTGAAAACATGAGAGATTTTAATTTTTAATGAATTTATTAAGGGGGTCGTATTTTGGTGTTGAGTTTCTAAAAATTTCCTTGAATTTGAAGTGTAAAAGAAGGAATTAATAGGTCAATTAATAGTGAATAGATATGATGTGATAGTTAGGTTAAGAGTAAATGAAGTATGAAGGAATTTTTAATAAAAGTGAGAAAAGTATTTTAGGACGAATGAAAAAAGGAAAAAAGAAAAATTTTCAAGAACGGAGGAAGTATTATATAAGCACGCTTTCTAAAACGAGTATTACATCTAAAATGTTAACATTATTAGCACAAAATACTCAAAAGTTATTATTTATGTAATATACTTGTAGTATCTTCTTGGATAAGGTTATTTGTACCCCAAGGGTTTGTACCTCATTTGTACACTGCAGGTGTGTACCAATATTTTGTGTTGGTGTAATGCTAATTTTTGTTAACGCACCAACACTTTGTGTCAGTGAAAATTTTTGTTAGCGCACCAACACTTTGTGTCAGTGATCAAAATGTTGGTGTATACCTTTGGTATAAGTATGGAGGTACAATTTTCGGTGTAAGTCTAGTATGATCCTATCTTTTTTCTCCAATAATTGGTTATGGTCAATGATTGTTTTCTACATCTTTAATATATTATCCAATTATTACTTTTTTGTTTAATAAAACACATAAATATACAATAGTAATGATAACAATTAATTATTATCAATGATTTTCTTTTTCTACATCAGTTTATTACACAATTGTACTATTTTTCTCATAAAACACATAAATATGTAGTAGTAGTAATAACAACAAAAATAATAATAACAATAACAATAACAATAATAATAATAATAATAACTATAATAAAGTTATTATAATAATTTTAAATTTTATTTGAATCAAATCACACAAAAGCTTTTAAAACTAGATTAGATTCAATCAAGTTGGATCAGACCCAATAAGATTAGATAATGTCCAATCAAGTTAGATAACGTCCAATCAAATCATACAAGATCAGATCTAATCAGAATTCATCAAATGTAATCAGATATGATCCAATCAAATTAGATCCTATCAGAATGAATTAAATCAGATTCAATCATATCAAACGAGATTTCTAGAATCTCACATGAAAATCAATAAAATGAAGCAAACTAAAATAGAGAGCATACGCCTCTGCACTTGAATTGGACAACAATTTTTGTTGTTATATTATTTAAACAAGGAAAATGCTGGGTTAGCATATAAAATCGTCACAAATTTCACAAACTTACTATTTGTAAATTTTAATAAAAAAAATAAAATAGCCTAAAATAATTTTAAAATGAGAATTTACATCTGAAATGGTGAGTTTGTGACAGTCTTGTTTGTAAACTTGCTCTTTAAACAATGCATTTGACGGACTCATCTGTTGACAATCATATTGAACATGATTGAAACCTAGTCGTTTTATCAAGGGAAAAAATTAAAGTGGGAGTAAAACATTAAAAATATATATGAATTTCATGTTTTTATTCTTAAAATAAGACTTAAAATGCATTTACATTATCAATAATGACCATGTACATTACATAAAATGCACATGTACAGTGTCACATTACTACAATGCGAACTTCTCTTTAGAGAATAAAAACACAGAACTCCTATTTTGATATTTTCTCTATGTTTTAGTTCTATTTAGGGTGATTTCTTTTTTATCAATATCAAGCAAATATTACTCCGTATAATTTAGCGAGATATAATAATTATAATAATATAAAAATAGTGTAAATTATTTTAAGAGAAAGAGAGTAATGAATAACGGGTAATGTTTTTTTAAATACTAATAACTCTAATTTAATACGGAGTATAATATATATTCATAAATTTCAACATATTAATTATGTAAAGTTATTATTACTCAAGATGGAATTTGTGACCCCAATGAGAAAATCATCGTGTCGTTAGATCAGTTGATTAGCCCGCTAGAGTTTTAATCAAAGTTTGATTCTAATTCCAAAAGTAACGTGTTTTTTACCATACAGTGACGTGTTATTTACCATCTCCTTGACACGTGTTCTCATAAAGTAAATATAGCACGTGTTCATTAAATCATTTTTTGGTAGTTAAGCTTATTTTGCTATGAGAAATGCTAGAGTCACAGATATTTCAGTCACAAAATATACAAACTTACGATTTGTGTATTTTAATGTTTACTTTTTAATTATTTAACATCATTTTATTCATTTAGAGAGGTGTACAAATGGCAAGTTTGTGTGTTTTGTGACCGGAATGTTTGTGACTAACATTTCTCTTTTGCTATAGATAACAGGGGTGACAAAACGGACCGGGTTACATTATTATACCTTAATTTCAATTGGATTTTTTTGAGTAATGAATTCGACTTAATATTTGTGGTGGTTCTCGTGATATTGCCAAACAATATCATTGGATGATCTGAAAGCCGAATAGTACTTTATTCTAGTAAAATTGATGGTTCCTATCCCTAAGCAAAACTCTCATCCCAATTCGACCTGAACCCACTTTCCGAGTTCCGCCCTTCAGTCGCACCACCCAAATTTTGTTGATTTAAGTCAAAATTTGATTCCAAAATCAACTAAATTTGAGAGGTGCAATTGAAGGGATGAGGGATGGGTCGGGGTCGGGGTCTATTGGTGGGAGGGATGGTTAGGAGGAGTATGAATCGTTTCTTTAAACAAAATACCGTACATCCCTGGATCATCTTATGACATTGGTCTCAATATCATGCAAACCAATATGTTGTAATATTTGAAGAATGAGTATTTGACCCTAAAAAATTTAGCTAAATAAAAAATCGCAAGAATAGTTTATGAATTGCGAAGTGTAAACCAAAGATGAACACCATAATTTTTATCAACAAAACTTCGCAAATAAGAGGAAATCGTTAGACATATCCGGTGAAAAAAATGAATGACTGATCTTTTTCTTAATGCTTCAATCCAATTTATTTTTTTCTTGGCTTTTAATTTGTAGGTTTACTTTCATTCCCTTATTGTTAATTTAGCTTCCTTAGAGATCCACCACTCCCTCTTCGATCTATCACCGCCCAGCTCCATTTTGGGCTTCAGGTGATCTCGACAGAGATTTATTGATAGCCTTTGGAGTTTCAGTGGTCTCAGAGGCCAATCGCTTAGTTTTTTCTACTTCCCCCTATATTTAATTGCATTGCTACTTATCCTTAAACTGTAGATTTAAGAGGTTAGGCTTTGTAACATTATATTAATTTTGACCTTTTAATTGTTGGAACTATAATACAAAATGTAGCGTTGTATATGCGAATTTAAAATAATTCTTGGCATTTCATTTTCTTTTAGACATTATACATTGATATGTTTGGCATTAAGCGGTAACTGATGGCTAATTACCGAGTAGTATTAGAAATACCCAATATGTTCTAGTTTGACTAGGAATATAATTATGGATCCTAGGCTTAATTAGTTATGTTAACACTAGATATATAATAATATATAATAACTAAACTTTGAGTCTTGATATGAGAGCCATAAGAGATTTATATAATAGTTATTGACCACACCTAATATTATGAGATTCATATTCACCACACCCAATATTTTTTTGAATTTTTTAAAATCATAATTAACTCAAAATATATAACATTAAATAAATAATTTATTAACATTAAAAGTTAAAATTAAATTGATGCGATATAAAATCAAAATAAAAAATACATTTAATAAAAATATAATTATTCATCATCCGAAAGTGAGGGAGCGAAGTTCACAAATGCTCAACTAAATCTGCATGAAGGTTGTGGTGCGTATATGTGTTATGTAACACGAACATGTTGAGATCTTGTTGTACTACATCAACTGGTTCAACGTTAACATTGTGATCATTCTAGGCTCGTATTTGCATATTGCACGTCCTTTGTCTTTGATAATCATGTTATGTAGCATGCAACAAGCATACATAATATAATGTAATTTTTTTGATGTGAAAGCTCACGCTTGATTTTGTGCAATGGGTCATCTCTGCTTCAGCACACCAAATAAACATTCCACGTCTTTTCTTGGCCATTCTTAGTATTTAGCGAATTTCTTTCACTTTGGATCATCACAGAATGATATACTTCTGACTATAGCTGCGTAGTCTGAAATATATTGTTGGCAAGATAATAGCGACGCTTGTACTCCATCCCAGAAAGCCCAGTACCATGTATAATTGCGTTGAATATATCGCATTGTCCAAGAACACTCAATTTGTTGTTTGAACCGACCACCCCAAAAAGGCATGCGAATTCCACAAATCATGAGTCTATGGCCTCAAGCATCATTGTAGGGTGCCTGTAATCACCACACGTATATTGACCTCGCCATATGTTGGGACATTTACGTCATGCCCAGTGCATACAATTAATACTGCCTAACATGCCGAGAAATCTATGTCGGGCTTCATGGACAGTGTATAACGCTTGCACATCCTTTGCGTACAATCTAATAACCCATTTTCAATGCTTACAAGCATTCCCATAACGTTCGATCGAACATGCATAGATACTCATTGAGTGCATTTGGTTGTTTTTTTTTTTTTTGAAAATAAGTGCATTTGCATTGTTGCCGTATGGCAATTGTTGCATCGCTGTCGAGCACTTTTGCAACGTTAAAAACCCAACTTTTATATCGGGCATCATGCTGCAACAGGACAAAAAGAAGTTGCACCCGCCAAATCGATCACAATGCAGAGAAAAAATGACGACTCATGCAAAATCTTCACCTAAATTGTTCGTCGGTGAATGTCACATTTGCAGTAAAATAATCCGCAACTAATCAATCGTTCCCACCTACGCATTAGTTTCATACCCCAGTAATATTTAATTTTAATATTTAGATTCTATCTCTGTTCATAGCTCTTCTTCCACGCGATTCAAGCGGTTTGTCGTTTTTTTTATTGTTGTGTAAGAATCTAAACTGCCTGGGCCATGGCATTTATGAAGAGAGTTTCAACTTCATCAAAATCAAAGGACGTCTACATTGTGAGAGAAAAAAGAGGATGAAAGTTTAGAATAGTAGTAGAAAAGAAGAGTTGAAAGTGTGATTAAGGGGAGTGAAGAGGATGCATTGAAATAATAGAAAAAAGAGGAAAACTAGCCGTTAGGGAGGGGGGGTGTCGTGGTGAATGTGATGGGTATGACCACCATCACGGTCACACCTTAGGGGGGCAGGGTACACGGCATGTAAGGGGGTGAAGTGGCGCCAAATGGCCATCACAGCACACAATAGGCTACTTACATCGCATGGTCTTAATTCATTGCATGCTTCCATCTCACCTCTCTGAGATTACTTCCATATTTGCAAGACTCCTAGTCGAATCAAGTCTCTTAGATCGTGGAATATGAATGTTTCAAGTCTTCACATGGTGAAGGACAGGACAATACAATCTTTCCTAAATAAAGCTACTCGTTTTGTCAAAAAATAATGTCAGCTACGTTTACAACTGAGCACAAGGAACTAACACACATGTCTGAAACGTTGCTTGGTATAAGGGTTGGTAAAAAAGCATAGGACAGGAAAAGAAAGTAAAAAAAAAAAAAGGAACTCAATTGTTGTAGAAAGATAAATCTGTTCATATAAACCTAGGATTATGATTATGTCTTGTATATAAATGAAAATCATAATATCGAGGGAGCTTACACCATTGTTCACCTATATTTCCTTCCCACAACACAGGCATCAGCAGAGTTGCACAGGCCCATAAACAGCGTGTGACAGAGTTAGACATGCTGGGGACAAGCGCGATTAGAGATAAAACACTATATAGTAGAAATTGATTGAACCCCTGCGTGGTTCCATTCCATAGTTGCCCTATTCTTTTGATGTGATGACCAACAACCCCAAAGCACCTATCAGAATATACTGCAAGCAAAATAAAATCAGGTCAAATTATTTAGTTGTTCCACACAGATCTGTGTTTTTTTTCCTTTTGGTGTTAACAGGAATGTAGTGCTTAAACTATTAAACGAGTGGGGAAAGGGAAGTAAACATTGTGGAAGGAAGCAGAGGAGTTACTACAGCGATGGTCCACATTAATTTGGAGTAATTTTCACATCTCCCAAGTCAATTTGGACCGCCATTGTAGCACAGGAAATTATCCATCTCCTCGTAGAAGAGCATTTAGGAATGATATACAGACCTTGATAATAGGATTCTCAGTCATAATAATTGTTACCCAGCCCACATACGGCAAGAACCTACAATAAAACAACAAGAAAATTGAAGGGGTGAGATTAAGAATGCTGTCAAATACTCGTAACACAGCTTGACCACCAAAAAGAAAGATGAACACTTGATCATGGTTGTTAAGCCGAAAAGTCAAGTAGAGTCGGTGAAGAGGAGACTAGTGGATTAGTCGACTAGTCGGCCTACTAGTCGTAGACTAGTTGACAAATCACAATTAGTATTGAAATTTTTAACATTATATATATCTTCATTGACCCAAGATAACTATATATATTTATATGACAAAATATCATTACCAAAACAAAACTGTGTTTAAAGGTAGCACATAAAGTCACAAAACGAAGGGTATGTAAGAAACAAATATCCTTCAATCTTCAAAAATAACATACCACCAAAGATAATTAGCACAAAAAGAAGCCAAAGAACATATTAAATTATTTAATTCCATGTTTTGAGTTATCAAATATCATCATCCAACATTATGCCACCATGACGATTTTCTTCCATTGTGGAAGATGGCGATGAAAGAGACATCGAGATTTGAGAAGGGTTAAAGTTGACTGTGATTGTGTTGTGAACCGAGGGAGGCGATGTTTTATGGAGTATTTTTTAAAAATTTAATGAAATTTGGTGCGGTCGGATTGGGTTGGGTCAATTTGAGTACGTTTTTGTCAGCGACTAGCTGTTGCTTAAGCGCGACTAGTCATCGCTTTGCTCTCCCGGACGACTAGTTCAACCAAGTCGCTAGTCGAGATGCAAGTAGCTACCCAGAAAACGACCGGAGGACTAGTCGTCGATGACTTGGTAACAATGCACTTTATATTAAATTGGTGAAGTGTTCATCTGCAGGTAAAACTTGTATAAATGAGGTGTTCAGGTGGGCGCTGTTAGAAGCTAGGATCATATATTGGGAAGTGTTTACTTCCATGAATAGTAGAAACTAGCAAATATGAAGAATCTAAATCACTTTTAGGCTCCGTTTGGGAATAGTGTTTGTAATTAGTGTTAGAGTTTTGTATAAATTTTTAAAGGTGCAGATTAGCATTTAAAAACTAAAGCCTAAAAGCTACTCTTGGATCACGTTTTCAAAATGTTAAGGCTAAACTCTAACAGCCAAACGGCGTTAGTGTAGACTCACCCGACAGCTCTCCCCATGATGTGCTGACGTTGTAACCAGAGCTGACCTTGGGCATACAGAGCTCTATCATCCCCAAAATTATTGTCTCCTGTAGATTCAAATGATCGACAAAAAAACAATGACAATAAAATTAATGATAAACAAATGCCAAACAACATACCGGGTTCACTTGGAAGCTTAAATTCCAAATGAGAAGGTAGCAAAAGGGGTAGGAAATTTGGAAAAGAAATGTCCATATAATTCCCGACTCATGCTATATAAAGAAATTGCACAGAATGTACCTTTTGTTAGCACATCAACTTCTCCAGTATCTTGGCGCTCATGGACCTATAACCAAACAAATATCATATTGATAAACTAAGTAGACATTTGGCAACCGTATTGTTCCACATTTGCTCGTGGTGGCACACTAACAGATAGATACCCATGAAACAATGCATATTCATTTTTTCCAGATTTTCACATTGTAATAGATTATAAAATTAGACCTCCTCCTTGAAGATAAAACAAGCTTGTATTAAAGATTAATGGCTTTGATAGCTGATTAGAACGAGTATGCTGTGAAGTAGTTTTCTAGAAAAGATGCATGATTAGAAAGAAAAAAAAACTTGAAAAGATGATATTGCAGAAAAACTTGCCTTTATCACTCTGTGGACTATTGGAATCTCACGTCCCTGTGCAACACAAAGAACTAATGGCAGTCATATGACATGCTTATGTAGAAGAGTACATAGTACGTAAAAGTTAACATCACAAGCTATAATATCGAAAGTGCCAGACATGAATAGAATTTGTGCAGTTAAATCACTTGACATGGATGACAAATAGCAAAAATTTGAGCATAAAATGACTAAGCAAAACAATACCAATCGGCTTATGTTTGATGGGCTCCGCTCTATTCAGAATGCAAACATTCAAGAGAATTCACATGGAAGGTATGATTTATATGCAAATGGAAATTGTACAGAACTACAGACTATTCAATCTCCAACTCAATATCAGTCAGCCAAATGCCCAAACATTAAGGGACTAGGGGACTAGACTTTTCAGTAACATTGGGAAAGTATGGGACTTTCTAGTTTCTATTTGTCATGTGTTTTAAATGACTTTAATTTAGTCATATAGAAAGAGGTTGCGTACTTCATTTTGTATCATTTATTGGTGCAGACAATTATATTCTACAAAAGAACAGGAACACCATGAATAGCTTCGTTTTTAGAAATGTCCCAAAGTGGGAGAGTGTGGATGGATGAAAAAAGATAACAAAGGAGATGCAAGATGATATGAAGGAATACCACGATAAACGTACAAAATACCACCTAATAAAAAACTACAAGAATGAGTTGCTTTTGTCAACATTGTGGTAACTTAATGTGCATCTAGGAAAAGCAAAGATAAAATTCTAATGACTTAAAGACAAAGAAGGGCTCACATCAATATTAAACACAACTATTTCTCCAGTTCGAATAGGATCTTCTGTCATGCGCAAGAACAGTATGTCACCCTGTAGGATAGTAAAAAATTAATTATAAAACAAGCCATAAATAAGAATGAGTCCCATGGACAGTGAGTATGCAGACACGAGCCCAATAAATGCATAAATTCTCAGTGCCCAAGCCATTATCAAGCTCACCCTTTTGAAGCCGGGTTCCATACTTCCCGAAAGAACAACCACCACTGGTGATTCACTGCCAGTTACGCACATCAACCCTTTCCATATAATCAATGCAGAAGTAACTATCATACCTGAAAGTAATGGAACAATAAAAATCTCAGGAAACTTAATGTTAAACTATCTGAAATTAAGACAAAATGGAAGTCTTGAGTTTTACTCAAATATCTTCAAAATAAACAGATGACCTCATTAAAAGCACGAGGTATCCCTTACTACCAACTCAAAATATATCTCCCAGATGGGATAATTGCATCAATAAAAACCACATTCGAGTATGAACGGACTCGTAGTTAATCATTTCCTTGATCTAGTTTCCGCCGCGGAAATTCAAAAGTCTAGTAATTCATTGCAAGCTTTCTTAAAAATTTTGATTGCAAGCATATGAGAGAAACCAGCTTCACCTTTTATTGTAAACCCGCTCCAAATTTCAATCAATTCAAGATTTAAGAGCTGTGCTAGAGTGCCCTTAAGCTTTACCCCCATCTTATTTTGCTCACACAGACATATGTTTCCCATACATGGCCCACTAGCCTTTTTCTAGGTTAAATAAGAGCTACAACAGTGAAATGTAAGGGCATAAGCCCAGCACATTTCAATTGCATTCACCATAGGGTTTCAGATACAGAAATGGTAGATGATCAGATTAACAATGTTGCAATACATTCCAAGATTTGATCCAGTTTACTATATAAAAGAAGCAAAAATAGTAATAACACCAGAATCAATCCATATTCGCAGCAGTAAATCTCACGATCCCTGATGGGATACATATATGAGTATGAATCAATTCACAATTTTACAAAGCATATCTGGACGGACGCACAGAATTAGAGTACAGATATGAGGGAGGGAGGGAGGGAAACCTAGAGTAATAGCTTGAGTGAGGAGTTGCCTGAACTGAATGGACTTGATGGAATCGATCTGATCTCCGACCCACCCCATCTCGATCTCCACTAACGCGAATCGGAAAGGGCAAACCGTGAAGGGATGAAGAAAGACAATGGGATGGATGGATGGATGGATGTCTGGGCCTGCGAAGACTCACTCACTGTATGTATTTATCCGCTAGATTCGGGGGGTATAAACACAAACTGAAGATACGTGTCACATCTCCATTTGTTGTTACCGAAAGTATAAATAAATAAATGTCTAAAATGACGCTAGTGCTACTGCTGTCATTTGTTTACACCAGTTCGTTTGGGATACCTACGGTGCTCTGTTTGTAAAAACGACGGTTCTTACCCCTAACTCTCCCCCTAAACCCTCCAGCCCAGCCCCACCCTTGCCCCCCACCCCAGCCCCCCTCCCGCCCCCTCTCTACCCTGCCTGGCAGGGTAGGGAGGGGGGACTGGGGTGGGGGGCAAGGGTGGGGCTGGGCTGGGGGGTTTAGGGGGAGGGTTAGGGGGGTAGGAACCGTCGTTTTTACAAACGGAGCACCCTAGGTACCCCAAACGAAATGGTGTAAGCAACTGGTGTATAAGTAACTGATGTCATTTTAGATGCTCCCATAAATAAAATATAGGCTGTTACTATGTGTCAATTAAATTGACATTCTATATTTGATATTCCATAATTTTTTTTTACGTATTTTATGATGATGTTATTGAAATTGTAATTATATTTTGAAATTAGAAAAAATTAAAATTATGTTTCGATACTTTACCCATGTTTAACTCTTAGACCAGGCAAATTGGCCGTTCGAGTCGAATTTGGATTGAGTGAGTTTCGGTAATACATTTTGAGTTTGAATATGGAATATATTTAGAGCCGATATGTTTTTACAACACATAAGTAAATACAGTCCTTATTCTCAAAATAAGATTGATATGTTCTTATCTTCAAAATTCTCTCCGTCCGATTTAGATCTTCTCATATATTATTCACAAAGTCAGACACTACTCAATTTGTTTATTTTCACAACATATTTTATAAAACAATTTAGTCACGTAACCTTTTGTTCTATACAACTTCTTATGCAGGTTTTTGCAATATATTTTTTTAATTTTGCGTCTACAATCAAATAAATTAAATTAAAAATAAAGTCGATCAAACCTTATAGCATGTAATGACAAGATCTATGTCGGGCAAAAGGAGTATAATTATTGTATTGTGAAAATGTGATACTGTATATTAGTGCTCTATACTATTTTTGTGGTATATGTCGACATTGTTGATATTGAGCTTGTTTGGGATTAACGTTAGCATTTTGATTAAAATTCTAATAATGTAGTAGATTAACTTGAAAACACTGTCCTAAATAGTTTTTTCAAAACGCTAACAATAACTTTTAATACTATCCTCATATAGACCCATTATAAATCCTAGTTAGGATAAAAATAGAAAGATTCTATTTTGATTATTCTCTATGTTTTACTTATATTTGAATTATTCTCCCTAGTTCTATTCGTCTCATCTCACAAGTTCATTACCACACTCCATCAAAATAAATAGTCATACAAAACCACAACTCATTATAAAACTGCATGCAGGGAAATATACTTCCTCCATTTTTATAGGCTTGACTTTCGGAATTCCTGAATTGCCTCCAAGTAATTAGCAGCAAAACCTACTCGAAGGTTTTGTAAAGATTTCACTTAAATGAATACATAAAGAGGTGAAAGCTACTAAGAGAATGTGGAGATAAAAATATTTGCAGTGTTACCTCTATAAAAACAGAGAGCCAATTTCTGTTGGAATCTAATTCATTGCTCCATTTACCATCCAAAACTTCACAAGAGAGTAATAAGCAAAGAAAGTATAATATGTGTCAATTTGACTTAGGTCTTCATTACAAGGAATAACCAGAGAGAGTAAATTCATATGGATGGACAACTTTGTTCACATGTACATATAGAGTCTTAAGGTATTTAATACACAGTAGCTACTAAAGGATACATGGATTCAAGTATAGAAAATGAATGGAAGAACCAAATGAACAGATCGCTTATTATGATGCTGTTGAAAGAAATGGAGTTTATAAATGGTTTAGATTTTTGCGGATGATGATGATGATGATGATGGTAAAGGCACCCTCTTCCGGTACTCAGCCAAACCCCATAAAGGATAGATATTTCTGTATCCTGCGTAGTGAAGCATGCAGTTCTTCATGAAAACTCCTGTAATTTCCTGCCAAACACGAAAAAAGAAAAAACAAAGAGTATTATAAATTCAGAACAACTTAATCTGTCCTAATATTTTGCTGCAGCTGTAAGGGTAATGCTTGATTTCAAACCTGCTGAGGGAAGTCACCATTTTCCATCTGAGAGTTTATAATAAGCTTTGCCGCGGCATGGAGAGGCTTTGCATCTCTTTCCGCCTATCTCACAATGAAAAGAGCAGATGGTCTCATTTTGTAGACGACATTCAAATTGTTTTACGTAATTATTTGTAAGAACTTTACCAGTTACCATATTCCAGTGGTGTCCAAAATAGTCATTTACCTGGCCAGAATGAATCAGCCCCATCATGGCCCAAGCAGTTTGTACCAAATTCGAGTGGTTTCCTTCAAGCGGTCGATAAACCTGCTTTCAGAATCAAATAATAAGTGCTTCCGAGGCTCGCCAACAAAAATCTTCTATTATATGCTCGCCAACAAAACTAATTTGTGATTCTGATTTATTAAAAAATGAGGTAAATCATGAGAGAATTGCAACGTGCCCCTGTGTTGTTGCGAATGGACAGAACAGTCCTTGTAAAAATTTATTGAAAATTTAGAAAGTGGTGAAAAAATTAGGTTGCTCACTCGGCATTACAAATGAAACTTAGGTTGGAGAGAAAGTGGGTGAGTGAGTGTGGGATGTGGAGTACTTAATTAAGCCTCTTGAGCAGATCACTTCTCCGAGTATTACCTGGTCAGGACAAGAACGATAGCTCTCTCCCCAGCCGCCATCACCCATCTGTATTCTTAGCAGAAAATCAACACCTTTTCGGACAGCTGCACAATTGTTATATGTTTTCCCTGCTGCTGCTAGGCCTCCAAGGGCAAACCAAGATGCATATGTGAAACAAACTCCCCAAAATCCGTACCTAAGTTTTTGAGATGGTTTATAAAGTTGTACATGAAGAAAACAAATACAGTACAACTATTAGTGAATTAACATACCACGAACCGTCGGGCTTTTGAATATTTTCAAGGTACTTTGTAGCATTGGTGATGAAATTGTCTATCTCTTTTGTTCGGTGTCCAGGGTACAATTTCTTGAACAGAACAAGAGCTTGAATTGATGAGCCAGTGCACTCAACATACCTGGATGACAAATTTAAGTTTTTCTCAACAACAAAATGCATATCTCTACTAGTACAATCTAAATTGCAAAAGGCATTTAGATTGATAAATCTTACTCATGCTCCACCAGAGCGTCAGCAAAAAATTCGGTTGGATTTAGTATCTGCATAAGCAACCCAAACAAGTGAAAAGTAAATTCTATTTGTAATGATTGGTAGTACAGAGTACATCAAAAAGCTTGAATGAAATCATTGTCATTGCCAATGTCATGATATCAACGCAAATATATGGTATCCCTTAATAGTGTAGGAAGAAATACCTCCAGCCAACCTGGGGCTCTAACTGGCTCCCATGCAGTCACCCCACCGTGTTTGCTCTGTCATATTGTTTATAATGGATGGTATCAGTAACCAAACTTATGCTAACATACTTGATTTGCTATTAGATTTTGTCATATAAACAACCAAATTAGAGTTTTTTCATAGAAGCGGGTATTATGTTGAATTCCAAGTTTCCAACATAGTTGCACTTTTAGGTCTTGTTGTCGTTGGTGGTCGTGGTAGTGTAATTATTTATTTTTATATTATTATTATTATTATTACTATTATTATTATTATTATCATTATTATTATTATTATTTGAATAGGGGCATAGACCAGGTGAGCAAAGTTGAATGCATTTTGAGACCAGGTAAGCTAAAGTCATATGTGTGCAGTTGGTGGGAGGGAGATTCTTGGGCAGGGTTATGCATCATTTGTTGTGTACCAGAGGCAAAGACAATACAGGACAGCGAGAGGTGTCTCTACTTACAGTTCAAATGATCGTAAGTGTATTGTCTTAGAGGAATAGAAAGCTACTCATTCCACTAATGGTGCATCATTTTTTCAGAAGCCTATTACTTGAAGAAACTCTAAAGTTTAGCGAGTTTGGCTTGGAACGATTTTAGGATTGGTGTCCTCTACGACTTTTTTAGGGAGCATAAGAGAAAGAACATGATGTGCTGAAAAGATGTTGATTGGTGGTTTGTTAGATTAGCTATTGATCAAAAGGTGGATGTAGGCATGCCCACTATGGGATCCCACTTCTGGGACTTCACTGGGTAAGTGATTGTTGCTGTGTTCTTTTTACTCTAGGATGTATTTGTACTATGGAGCAAACAACGGTTGATACCACCCTTCTCTATTTCTGAAAAGTAACTTGGAATACAAAGAAAACTTGATCAGAATATCAGATCTTGCCTGGAAGGAAAGCAACACATTGACTGCATCATATAACTGTTCAGGTTCCAATTGCTCGCCAAAAATTTCAGGAGGCAATGTAGAGAAGATAAGGCAACACTGGAAACAAGATTTAAATGGTGGCAGAACAGATTAGTCTTACTTTCATATTACAAAAGTATATATATAGTGTATATGTAGATAAGATACCTTCAACCCTTCAGCAGTGCAATCAGAAACTTGCCATCCGTGATCTTGGTCTGAAAATGTCCATGCCCCTTTAGAAATGTGCCTATACATGTTCTTAAAATCACCAGAAGGATTATCCTTGACCTGTAAGAAAACATTGTACATGTTTGGTCGTAATTACTAAAATACAAATCACACCAGGAAAGAAATTAGTAAATCAACTGTTTTACTGAGAGAAGCCACGGAGTCTCAGACCTGAGACTTTTTAATGTAATCGTGTCCTTTTCGAAGAGTATCTTCTATTTCATTAGTCAAGTTACTAGCTAACAGCGCTTGAATAGCAAACCCAGTATCCCACTCCTGACTCCCAAAGCTCTGAGGTCCAACACCAACCACCAAAGTTAGATAAAGGACTTGTGAGAGAAAGATTTTGGGAGTCAACATCACAATTATGAATTATCAACCTGCATTTTCATTCCATCTTCCGCAACCCATAGGTAATCAGGGATCCTGGCAAGATGTTTTTTGAAATAATCACCGTTTGGATCGTCAGCCCAACAAGCAAGCATACACAGAACCTGCAAGAGCAATGCATTTTAGAAATCCCATTCGACATAAAATATAAAGTTAAACACTACTTTTTAGCTTCCTTACCTTTTCCACACACCCAATTGTGATGTATCTGCTGTTCTCGTCTTCATAATGTATGTGTTTCATGGTACCTTCAAGAGCTTTCTGTCTTAACTTGTTAAAGGGCCAATGAGTTAGTAAAGGCTCGGTAAGTATGTAGCAACCATCCCAGAGTAAGTCTTGTATGAAGTGATGAGGGTAGTATAAATCCTCCTGTATAAACAAAAATGTGTTTGAGATCGAACTGTGTGAAATAATATACATGACAGAATTGATTTCTGAAAAAAAATACTACCTTCGCACATAAATGGCGTGTTTTCCTCCAGTTCACTTGATTGAATGGTTCATCATACAGCTCTTCCCTCAGTTGCAAAATGAGAGGTGTAATTGGGCCCACAAATCTCTTTCCGTATAAATAAGACATGGGCAAGGTAACCATTCGAGAGTAACATAACATGTTTGCTGCCATAAAGACAAGAAATCTAATGTTGAACTCAAAAAAAGAGTGATAGTAATGTCAACTTATTACGCATGCCAGCTCCAATATAAAGTGATTGTTCATTATTGTTATGAGTTTGAGCTGGTTTACTCCACCGTTTAATGCACTTAAAACAATATTAAGCCATGCCGTCCCTACAAGCATATCTTTTTGTTATAAAAAAGCTAAGAAAGTTCCCTACATTTCAAGTATCATACCAAAATATTTCTACTTACCTGGATGGATGGGAAGAAAAGATGGAAGCATCAAAAACTCAGGCGGTATTGGGTTACATCCAGTCCAGTCAAATACTCCAAGTATCTAAAGATAATATAAAGACTTGTCACCAAGATCTTGGCATAAATTTAGGTAATCATAAATACATACATGCATGCATAATGGCTTTAAGTAGTTTATACTAAGTAGTTTCAAAACGATGAATGCAATCCTACCGACAGCCAAGTCTTTCCCCATGAAGGAATGGCTTTAACAGTTCCATGATCAAGAATCCATTTCCTTGCTCTAGCACATGCATTGTTCTCACCGCCATCCGGCCCTTCTCCAAGAAGACGCATACATATGTAGTTTAGTGTAGTACAGAACATAGTGCTGTGACCTTCTATGTGGAATCCCCAGCCACCATCTTCATTCTAAATCCAACAAAAATATTGCATTTCTGAGTGTAAAAAGGCAAATTATACCATAGTCTCAGTGCACCATATTCATGGTGCACCCTTACCTTGTGTGTTGTGTGTGTGTGTATTATTATTATTATATATATATATATATATATATTATATATTATATATATATGTATATGTATATGTATATATATACACACACACACAAATAATCAATGTATTCAAGAGTTGCTCGAGATGCATTGTGCACTTTTATTTCTCTGTTCATTTACTATAATCTTACTCCATTTACATCATTTTGAGAGAGTTCGTACTTTGTCCTCCATTTACACTGCGGTAAGAATGCTTACACCATGTTTAACTCCATTTACGCTAAATGGATATTTTGTGTGAGTGAATATAAAAATTATTATAAATAAATATGCTTTGAGTGAGAAGTGAACTCTTGACCATTGAACTAAACGTGTAGCTAAGATCTTTTTACATGTCTTACACTCTTACATACTCGGATACTCCTGTATATGAAACAACGTAACACTTTCCTTTTAGGGATATCTGAAAATCAACTTTACACTTTTCCACTTTCCTTTTTAGAAAACAATTATGTGGATGGACATCTTTATTTCTCTCTCTTCCGGATCAGTTTTAACAACAAACTTTTCGCTTTTCCTCGTCTTTTGAACACTTTTTCTTAATTTTCATGAACTCAAACTGTAAATTCTTTGAATGACGGGGTAAGTATATAATACTCCCTCCGTCCCAAAAAAACCTCCTAATTTGAATAGGCACAAAGTTTAAGAAAAGTAAAATTCTGCGGTTGAAAGTGATGCACGTTAGAGAGAAATATGGTGAGCCACAAAAAAGAAATCTAAAAATAGAAAGAGGAACCTTTTTTTATATAGTGTCAAAGAAAAGTGAAGAATCTTTTTTTGGGACAGGTGGAGTATTAAAGATGTTAAAACCTAAAAGTAGTGGGAGCATGATACTACTAACGCTCCTTTACAATGATATAAGAACTCGGGTAAGAATAAATGCAATTATGTACTCCCTTCATCCACAAATAAAATTTGAACTTGTGTTTCTCGTCCGTCTCTGAATAAGTTTCCCACTTCTTTTCTTTCTATAAAAAGAGAGGATTTAGTCGCTTATAACATATCTCTCTCTTCTAAACAAATTTGATTCACATAATTTTTACTTTTCACCAAGTTTCTTAAACATTGTAAAGTCAAACTCCTTTTATTTGGGGGGATAGAGAGAGTATATACCTATCCCGATTTGTTATCTATGTTCCTTTTTTGTGTGAGTGAGTGAGTGGCTTAGTTTGCACAAGCTTTAGATGTTTGTGTTCGTTGTTAGTATCAATTTTTCTTAAAAAAATGTTTGGTGAAATGAGCTGTTTGTAAATAATCCCTCCATCTCAAAATGAAGTTCATATTCATATGGTCAAAATTTGTTCACTTTTTTGCCGATTTTTATTACCCATTTGATAACGTTATATAGTTATATTGCCTATTGTTTTGTAGAACTTATATAACAAGAATTAACAACAACAACAACAACATTACCCCAGAGCCTCAAAGGATTTCGTCCATTGTGGGGTAAGGGAGAGGTTGAATGTATATAGCATGACCTCTATGTTTAAAACATAGAGTGGTTGTTTCCAGATGACACATGATGAGCATTGAAAGTTACATTGACTAACTGTTACTTCACTATTGAAAAAAGTATCAACAATTTAAAGAGTCAATTTGTTTTCTTCCATAATACCCCAAATCCAAATATAGTAAAATTTTGGCTCCATCAAAGATAAAAGATGTTTTGAAATACATTAGTTTTATTTCAAAATTTGAGGCAAGCTCTTCTAACATTAACCATCAATGTCATATGCCTCGGGCCCTACTCCCATGGGATTCTATTAGGTTGTTGTTGTTGTTATATCAATGTCATATTATGAGCTTATGACACTATGAAACTTGAAAAATACTTGGGGAACCTCACTTGGGGTACACCAAGGTAAAAATAGGCACACACACATAATGTCTGTGCACGGACAGACATTAAATGTGTGTGTATCTATCTTTGCCTTGGTGTACATTTAGTGTGTCCCAAGTAGGGTTCCCTAGCACTCCTCATGAAACTTGTCTATTTGGGGGGCCTAGAATGCTTCATTTGATATTGAGGTGGTTTCTACCCTCGTAACCCTCCCCCTATAAACCCCTCACCCAGCCTGCCCCATGTTATTTTGTACAGAGTAAAAAAATAACAACATTAAAAACTTCAATCCTAAGGATTTTGTAAAATAAAGTTGTGAATTAATTACTTCTTTAGGCTAAAAGATCCATAAAAAGAAAATATTTACCGAACATTTCTTTTAGATATTCGATCGATGTCAAACATCATTTAAGTTGAAAAGTACTCCAACAGTACTTTATCAACAAAAAAGTTTGTTTCTAAACCGAGCTTGCATCTCTTTCCATTTACTTAATACCTGGTTCATATTGTTTCTACCCACTGCATAAATTTCATCACATAGTTTATATTTTATAAAACAATTGTGTTCTGTCCAAGTATTTAGGTCAGAGGAACAAATTTCCAGAATGTTAATGCCAAAGGGAGGAGCTAATAAGTTAATGGAGCATGCATATATATATACCTGGTGGCAGTATGTATATCGAAGAATTTCCCTACGATGTTCTGGTGGGAAAACAGCACTGAGGTGGCCGGTAATGTACATACACATAACCTGAAATTCGATAAAAAGAGAAAGGGTAAAAAAAAAAAGAAGACTGGAACAGGCATTTCATCGAACACTTGAAGGGGTGTGACTGACCAAAGGTGGAAGAAAGAACAAGGGACCCGCATTTTCAGCAGGCCAATGGCCATCGGAGGCTTGCAGTGCTGAAAAGAAATTAACTGCTCTTCTGAGTGCCGCTGTGGCCGTTTCATGGGTGATTTCTTCTCCATCTCTCACCTTCACCGCTGGGATTGTCTGCTTGAAGTTCTTCTCTCGAAGAAACTGTGTTTGCAGTTTGCACGTATCAGGCAAACGAGAAAGGGAAGATCGTGAAATGTGACGGAATAAAGCCCTTTTTTGAATCGAAACAATCTTTTATCTTTCAAACCATTTTATACTCTATAAAAAAATCTTATCAAATTAAAAAATTAAAATAATACCAGAATATATTTAAAAACTACATGAAAAAATTCACAAAATTAGAGTTATCATGACTATAATATTTTATTAAATGGGCAATGAAAATAAGCTAATAAAGTAAATAAAGTTTGACGATATGAATGCCAAACAGAAACATTATTGTTAGACGGAAGGAGTATTAAATGGGGACTCAAGATCTCTCATAGGTACATGTGGCCTTTTTTAAACAGAGTATCTAATACTCCCCCGTCCCTATTTTTATTACAAAATAGGAATTACGATATAAAATCTCACGATTTTTTAAATTATTTTATTTACAAATTGGTACATTAATAAAAAATAAAAATTATATATTAAAAAATTAATTCTAAAATTCTACAAAACAAGATGTGATAGGAATATTTTGTTTTATCAAATAATCAAGAAAAACACACAAATAAACAAAAGTTATCGAGAAGATAGAGAAAATAAAATTATAATCAAAATGGGGACGAAGCGAGTATGTCAATGAAATAGAAAATACTCCTTCCTTGTCCCAAAAAGTCCTTCATGTTTCAAAAAAAATGTGTTCCCAAAAGTCCTTCTCATTTCTATTAAAAAATCACTTTTAGCCCTTATTTTTCATAACTTAGCTATCACATCATACCTTTTTTCTAATAATCTAAACATCACGTCCTACATTTATCCATCACATCAAGAGTATTTTTGGAAAATCAATACCAAATTATCCTTCCCTTATTTTACCACTTTAGTCAATATGCTTCTATCTTTATGAACGGAAGGAGTATGAAATTAAAAGTTTGGTAAATACAATTTTTAAGTGAATTCAAATATGGAAAAGAAATTTTTCTATGATAATATTCTTTCCTAATTATATACTCTGTACTTTTTTTCCTTTATTTATAACAAAATTTTTAAATAAGTAAAATACTTTGTTCACTTATAAATAAACACTATATTTTTTTCGAGATTAAAAATAACAAATTTTGATCAAGAAAAATCAAATGAGAATATTAAATCTAGACGGAGGGAGTATCAAAATCGTTGGTGTATTTTACTTTTTTTAAAGATTGAATATATATCATTGGTGAGGATATGACATACCATAATTTTTACGAGTAGTAATCATACCATAGCTTTAATTTTAAAATTGCTGGTGCCAGCATACTTTTAAGAAGATCAGAACGGCACATACCTGGTATCTCCAAAGAAGATCAGAACTAGGCTTAACCTTATACCGGTTGTTCCAGAACTCAGTGCGGGCGGCTTCGACCTCAGCGACTTCTTCTGGCGTTCCGGCGGTGGGGTCGAACTCCCATGTTTGCCGGCCGACGTAGTTGTTAGTGCTGTACAAGTATGGGTCGCCGCCGCCCTCTCCAATTCTAAGCTTCCACATTCTGATCTCTCCCTATAATTAATTTTAAAACACCCATGCACTATTTATCGAATCCCGTGATATATCTTTAATTATAAGCACAATACGAGTAATTGACATGCATATGTGAGCATGCATGCATGCATTATGATTGAAGTTTATGCATTTTTAATTATTCCCTATTATTCTTCCCAATTTATATGGTACGACCCTTTTACCTACTTTGTGGTACAGCCGGTGCGCGATTGAGAAACGAAAAGAGGGGATGATGGCGAACCTTAACTGCTTCGATCACGGAACGAAGAAGCACAACGATATCGATCGAAGAACGAAGGGAGCATGCATTCTATTACTAGAGGAAACCGTACCCTAACTGCGGCTGTGTCAATCGTGGATGAAGATGTCTCGTCGAGATTTGCAACAGCGAGCGTAGATGCGATGCGATGAAAGAAATGAACAGTACGCTACTTAAGAATGAACACTACGTTATTTAAAAATGAACACTGCTTGTTTCTGAACACTACGTTATTCGTAAATGAATACGAACTTTTATAATTGTAATTTAATGAACAAATATGTGAAAATAAATACCACATTGTTTCAGAATGAATACTATGCGGATTCAAAATGATCGAACACCACGTTATTTCAAAATGAATATTCTTTCACTCCAAAATGAACACATATCCTTTATGTGAAAATGAATATCACTTTACTCCAAAATGAATACTATCCGGCTGTATCATAGTGTACTTCATAATTCCTCTACAACCGATTGTACAATATACATACTCATTATTCTTTGGCTTTAATAAATTCATTTCTTTAATTCTTTTCGTGTATGTTTTAAAAAAAGTTTCCTACTCCCTACATCCCCCAGTTTTTGTCCACTTTTGACTTTTGGAACTGTTCATCTAAGCACTTTGACTCATCAAATTCTCTCAATGTGTAAGCCTAAATATAGTCATGTGTGATCTTGTTTGATTTGTCTTAACATATAGATTATTAATATATAATTTCTATAATTTTTTAATATACAAATTACAAGATAAAATGGATTAAAGAAGTACATTGGATGGTGTGTAAAAATAAAAGTGGACAAATACTCTGGGACGGAGGGAGTATTATTTTGAGGAACGATTTGTGCAGTACATGATGAAGCACAACCACTACATTACTACCTCGTNAAATTCATTTCTTTAATTCTTTTCGTGTATGTTTTAAAAAAAGTTTCCTACTCCCTACATCCCCCAGTTTTTGTCCACTTTTGACTTTTGGAACTGTTCATCTAAGCACTTTGACTCATCAAATTCTCTCAATGTGTAAGCCTAAATATAGTCATGTGTGATCTTGTTTGATTTGTCTTAACATATAGATTATTAATATATAATTTCTATAATTTTTTAATATACAAATTACAAGATAAAATGGATTAAAGAAGTACATTGGATGGTGTGTAAAAATAAAAGTGGACAAATACTCTGGGACGGAGGGAGTATTATTTTGAGGAACGATTTGTGCAGTACATGATGAAGCACAACCACTACATTACTACCTCGTCACAAAATATTTATCTAATTTTAACTGTTTGACATCAAAACTTACAAGCTTTATATTTGATACAGAGTAATAAACTAAATATAATTGATATTTGATATTGATATAAAAAAAAATTTATTCGATATATAGTCCTATGATTAATATACCATATAATTAAACTTTATATAATTATTACTACCTCCGTCCCAAAAAGATTTACACATTTTGACTAAAGTTGAAATTAAGGGAGGGATTGACTTTCCAAAAATACCCTTGATGTGATGGGTAAAAGTAGGATGTGATGTATAGATTATTAAGAAAAAGGTATGATGTGATAGGTAGAGTTTGAAAAAGTAAGAGGTAAAAATGGTTTTTTAATAGAAATGAGTAGGAGATTGTGGGACGCAATTTTTTTAAAAGGTGTAAATCTTTTTGGGACGGAGGAAGTATAAGTTAACGTTTTGTCTTGTTTAACTGCAAAAGTCAAAATTGAAAAATACTTTAAAACGAATGAAGTATGTAGTTATGTTGATTGACACACCACTAAAATACTATACTAAATATACTACGTTAGAGATGCGCAAAAAATTACTCCGTAATGTGAAACTATTTTGTGAGACGGAGGGAGCTAGTACTAATAAATTAATTATCGATCAGCCTAACCTTTTACTCGCAATGATGATATACCCAATATACAGGCAAGATTTGTTTCGGATAGAGCTGAGGATTAATAATATAATGGAGGAATTGAAGTGTTGAAGTGATATGGATCGAGATGGGCGTGCAGTGCATGCATGAACAAACAAAGATTACTATATATAGTTATTCAGCTGAACATATATCCATCAGTTTATATATATATGCCCTATCATAAGGTTGAAATGGGAAATCAAAATTTTGACTTTGCAAGCTGTATACGGTATGGCGTTTGTCCAGTTTTTCAAACTGAGTACAAACAAATACACCCCCCTGGGGTCTGTGGATAGATGGAGAAGAAATGAAAATTAATGGAGAGAGCATAAAGAAATATTTGTTTTCCAGAATATTTCCACGGTTTGGTTTGTTCAATTAATATTATGTGGAAATTTCTGAAAAGTATTATGAGGCGCGCGAGTCATCAACACTTCCTCTTTTGTGCATCAAAATCAATACTTAAAAAGCACTAAAAAAAATCAATACCTAAAAAACACTTCATTAATTGAGTGGTTGGTAAAAATTTAAATCGATTGAGGGTAGATATCAGCAAAAGGAGGTTGAAAATAGACTCTTGTGTTATAATGATTAATGAAGTAAAGTCCATCAATTATTATTTTCAAGAATAATTAATATTATAGATTTATAGTAATAAAAATAATAAAATGTCAAAATCATAATGTATACATACATACATACATACATACATATATATATATATATATATATATATATCTATGTATGTATGTATGTATGTATGTATGTATTGTTGGACAACATGCTATTATGAATATATATTTTGCAATGTCCTTTGCCCATTGTCTTTTAGGTTTTGATAATGACAAAAGGGTGACAAAACATCATCATCATATTGTGCATCAAGGCTAAGAACCAAAGCTACAACAAGTTCATATCCGTCCGTGAAGAAGGGACTTGAGCATCGGTGGAAGGAACGAGACCGAAGAGGTTGTTTCCTTAGTTGGGTAGTGTTTTAGGTCTTAGATTGTGTTAAAGAGTATGGCATCTCTCAGGTTCATTCCCTTATCATCCTACCTTTAAAACACATGTTTTCTAGCAAACTATTCGAATAAATTGCAAACTATTCGAGTAAATCCCTGAACTTCTTTTCTGACTTAGTTGAATAAATCCAGAACTAGTTGAATAAGTCTTGGTTTTTCAATCTGATTTATTCGAATAAATCTCGATTTATTCGAATAAGAACTGGTTTTTCAAGCCACGCGATTGATCCAAACTATTCGAATAGTTCTTGAGTTATTCGAACAAGTCGACAGTTTCAACTACCAAACGGCTAGTTTTTTGAATTCTTTTCATCTCTATCCACTCCCTAACTTCTATAAACAACTCTCTTCGTGATTATCTTGATACGAACACTTAGAACACTTTGAAGAACATATCCTTTGAATATCCAAAGAGATTCTACTCAATCCCCTCCTTATATCCAAGCAAGGCAATTGTTTTGATTGCTAAATCATTTCTTGCTTGAGTTTTTCCTCATTGCTTGAGTCTTTGAGAGATATTGCCATATTCTAAAGGACGTCATTGTATTTGCAACAATCTACTCCGTGTTGGGAGAATTACTCGGCTGCGGTTTGTTTTCTTACTTTATTGTAAGGGATTTGTATTCTTGGTGTTGGGATTACACCAAGTGGTAGAAATCCTAATGGTTTATGAAATCAAACGTTAGGTGGATGAAATCCTGAGTTTTGTGAAATCAAAACTTCGGTGGTAAGATAAGAGGCTTGTGAAATCAAGTTCTCGAGTTGTATTCGGATTGTCAAACTCCGTTAAGTTTGACGGGTTAGTGAAGGCCTGGGCACGATTGCTTCGGGGACTAGATGTAGGCATTAGGCCGAACCAGTATATATCGTGTGTGCATTGCTCTTATCCTTCACTTTATTTTGTTTGTGGTGCATTGATTTTATTGAATATTCGTGAAGAACGTTTCCGCGCAAAAAACTGGTCTTTTGGGCAACACCTCTATTCACCCCCCCCCTCTAGAGGTGTGCGAGGCGTCTAACAATTGGTATCAGAGAGAGGGATTTTCAAAGCTTTACCGCTGAAAATTTAAAAAGATCATGGCCAGAAGAACATTTCAACCCGGAGTTTCCGAAGGACAATCCACGACAAGGCCACCACTCTTCGACGGCACAAATTATGCTTATTGGAAAGAGAGGATGAGAATATTCATCCAATCAAATGATTATGATTCTTGGATGGTGATCAAGCATGGAGAGACGGTTCCCACAAAGATTGTTGACGGGGTTCTTGTTCCAAAGCTAGACACCGAATATACCTCAAATGACAAAAAGAAGATTCAACTAAATGCAAGGGCCATCAATTTTCTATATTGTTCCGTGAACCCGAATGACTATCGGAAAATCTCAAGATGCAAGACAGCCAATGAGATGTGGAATAAATTAGAGGTCACATATGAAGGAACAAGTCAAGTGAAGCACTCAAAGATCGACTTACTCACCCATGAGTATGAGCTTTTCATGATGATGGAAAATGAAACAATAGATGGCATGTTCGAGAGATTTTCAACTATCATCTCAAATTTGGATACACTTGGGAAGCATTATGAGGATCATGTTCTTGTTCGAAAAATCCTTCGAAGTCTCACACCGGAATGGAAGTCTACGGTCAACCCTATCAAAGAAGGCCGAGATTACAATACATTGACANATTGAATGAGAGTACAAAGCCTACTTGCTATGGATGTGGAGAGCGTGGACATATCAAGGGTCATTGCCCTCATCGAAAAATCAAGAAGTCCAAACGTCGAAAGCAATCCAACTCTAGTTCCTCTTCCTCATCCGATGATGAAGTAGCCATTTGTCTTATGGCTCAAAGTGAATCCGAAGAGGTAAGTTCTTCTAACGATCCTTTTAGTTTTGAAGAACTACAAGAAGCATTTGGTGATTTATTTAAAGAATTTAAGAAAGTCTCATCTATTGCCAAAGATTTGGAATATAAAAGCACCCTTTTGCAAAAGAAAAATAATATTTTGCAAAAAGAAATTGATTCCCTCAAAATTGAAAATAAGACTTTTGAGGAGACTAATTCGAAATTAAATGATTCACCATGTTCTTCATGTAAGTCTTCTAGTCTTGAGATAGAAGCGCTTAAGAATGAGGTAGACGATTTGAAATTAGCTATGAAGAAAGTTGAAAATGAATTTAGACAAGAATCTACCTCTAGGATTAAATACTATAGATCACCTAGAAATAAACAAAGTCATTCTAAGAATTCTAAGTTTGATAGACAACCTAGAAATCACATCACACATCCTAGAAACATGAACAACCCTAGTGTTAGGTGTCATTATTGTAATAAAGTAGGACACATCACACCAGTTTGTTACACTAAGTATAGGCACTTGCTTCAAAGTCAAGATAATGTGATGCATCGTTCATATGATTTTTATTATTGTCATAACACCCCTGGACCCAAAAGACATTGGGTACCAAGATTTACTTCGTAGATTCATTAAGGAAGGTGTGCTTGAACACTTTGACTTGAGTTGAAGTAGATGCGCCAAGCACATAATTGGGTGAAGCATCAATTAAGGGGGAAGTTGATTCACTTTATTAATTCCAACTAATGTTGATTTATATTTTAGTTGGACAATGTGATATTATTTATTTGTTTGATATCTATTTGCATGAGCATATATCTTTTTGCCCATCTCTTTTTGATAATGTCAAAAGGGGGAAGATGGTGTAGATATGCATATATTCAGGGGGAATTGTATTTGTGCATATCTTAATGGGGAAGATAGTATAGATTTGTATGTCTTTGTTTGATTTATGATGCAATACTTGAGGGGAACTAGCTTTGTATGAAGCATATCTCCTAATGGGTTTGTCATTATAGAAAAGGGGGAAATTATTGGACAATGTGCTATCATGAATATATATTTTGCAATGTCCTTTGCCCATTGTCTTTTAGGTTTTGATAATGACAAAAGGGTGACAAAACATCATCATCATATTGTGCATCAAGGCTAAGAACCAAAGCTACAACAAGTTCATATCCGTCCGTGAAGAAGGGACTTGAGCATCGGTGGAAGGAACGAGACCGAAGAGGTTGTTTCCTTAGTTGGGTAGTGTTTTAGGTCTTAGATTGTGTTAAAGAGTATGACATCTCTCAGGTTCATTCCCTTATCATCCTACCTTTAAAACACATGTTTTCTAGCAAACTATTCGAATAAATTGCAAACTATTCGAGTAAATCCCTGAACTTCTTTTTTGACTTAGTTGAATAAATCCAGAACTAGTTGAATAAGTCTTGGTTTTTCAATCTGATTTATTCGAATAAATCTCGATTTATTCGAATAAGAACTGGTTTTTCAAGCCACACGATTGATCCAAACTATTCGAATAGTTCTTGAGTTATTCGAACCAGTCGACAATTTCAACTACCAAACGGCTAGTTTTTTGAATTCTTTTCATCTCTATCCACTCCCTAACTTCTATAAACAACCCTCTTCGTGATTATCTTGATAAGAACACTTAGAACACTTTGAAGAACATATCCTTTGAATATCCAAAGAGATTCTACTCAATCCCCTCCTTATATCCAAGCAAGGCAATTGTTTTGATTGCTAAATCATTTCTTGCTTGAGTTTTTCCTCATTGCTTGAGTCTTTGAGAGATATTGCCATATTCTAAAGGATGTCATTGTATTTGCAACAATCTACTCCGTGTTGGGAGAATTACTCGGTTGCGGTTTGTTTTCTTACTTTATTGTAAGGGATTTGTATTCTTGGTGTTGGGATTACACCAAGTGGTAGAAATCCTAACGGTTTATGAAATCAAACGTTAGGTGGATGAAATCCTGAGTTTTGTGAAATCAAAACTTCGGTGGTAAGATAAGAGGCTTGTGAAATCAAGTTCTCGAGTTGTATTCGGATTGTCAAACTCCGTTAAGTTTGACGGGTTAGTGAAGGCCTGGGCACGATTGCTTCGGGGACTAGATGTAGGCATTAGGCCGAACCAGTATATATCGTGTGTGCATTGCTCTTATCCTTCACTTTATTTTGTTTGTGGTGCATTGATTTTATTGAATATTCGTGAAGAACGTTTCCGCGCAAAAAACTGGTCTTTTGGG